GACAGTGAGATCTATCTTAAACCAGGCCTTTTGACTGTCAGTTCATGGCATCCTCCTGCCACCTCCGGAAAAATTACCTCCTCTCCTTAACTCATAACATCAGGCATGAAATCCGACTCACTATCACAGAACCAGTTCCTGCACTTCCTCAGGTTCCTAGCCTCCATTCAGATTTAAACAGAGCTACAGTAATCGTCAAGGAAAATTCAATTTGGGCCCTCACTTCATCAGACTTGCCTCACCTTCTGTGGCATTTAATTAGCTGCCAAACCAATTCCAATCCCTTTAAAGAGCTGACATCATGAAAATCATGTCATTAATCCACCCCATAGCCTCCCTACAGGCAGGTTGGAGACCAGAAGACAGTTCTGACTTCCACTTCCCAACTCCATCATGAAAATTCAAACAGCCATCGAAAGATAATCTTTCTGAATCTTTCTGCCACCTTTAAACCTTTTTGTTTTTGTTATTTACATCACACCTGCTAATCTTATTTTTATTTCCTTTCTGATAAACCTCAACAACACCAAAAAGTGCTGTTGCCAATGAACCTGATGCACTCATTCTTCCTTCCATATTTAGTTCATTTATTGCACCATTGTTTTCTCCTCAACCAAGCATTATTCTAGGGACTTGGTCCTGTAAAGAAGTATTACTGAAAGTGAATCACTGGGTGAGACATAAGCTACCAATGGAAACAAGATCAAGAATCTGCTTTAACTGTTGGGGAACAGAAGTCATCTGTCCTGGAATAGCATTAGGATTTCATCGCATTCCTGAACTTAAAAGCAGAGACAGAGAGTAAAGACAATCGTAACAGAGGGCATATCCTGATTAGCAGGAACTGACTAATCACATTCACAGATCTGCACTATGGCCTCAACCTATCACCATATATTAACAATTTGAATTAAGTAATAGAGATATATATTCAAATTAACAAATGGCACTATGTTAAAGGCACAACAAACTGACTAGATGAGAACTGAAAGTTAGTTACAAAGCAACATGAGTAGACTAAGTTAAAACATAAAAGCACAGCAAAAGGATGGAGAAGTGTGAGATCATCCACTTTGGATCAGGGAAAGGAAAATATTTTCTTAATGAAAGAGTTAGGAGCTCTTGAAGAGCAAAAGGATTTAGGTGTCCAGATGTACAAATCACTAAAAGCTAATGCACAAGTACAAAATGCAATCAATAAAGCCAATGGAATTTCGATCTTTATCTGACAGAAGTTGGAATACAAAAGTGAGGAACTGATATTTGTTGTATGCAGCTTTGGTCAGACAGGATGTCTGAAGTAGTGTGTTCAGCTTTGGGCACCACATCACAAGAAACAATAATCGGTCTTGGAGGGTTTTAATTCCTGATTCAGATGAGGGCATGAATAAATTTGCTTTGTATTCCCATGAGTTTACACATTTGAGGGATAATCCAATTGAGATCTTCAAGACAAGTAACGGATTCAATAAGACAGGTACTGAGAAACTTCTATTTCCTCTTGTGGAAAATCCAGAATAAGAGGGTATATGTTAATTTGAAAATAAATAATTTATGGGTGTGGAAGCATAATCATTAAGTCAAGATGTTCAAGACAGAAACTGATAGATTTCAAATTACTAGTGACATAAATCCTGTAGCAGGTAACTCACCTCCTGATTTTGCCAAGTCTGTCCATCATCTACAAGGCAATGGAATCCTCCCCACTTGACTGGATGTCTTCCAATCCCAGAAGAGAAATCAGGGCCCAACTCTTTGATATCTGACAAGTTGGCAATTATTCACAGCCAACCTATCAAATACTTCAAGATTAAATGGGTGATGACAACTTTCAGAGTTTACACTACCTCATTTTCATGAGAAGCATAATTGCATCAATTTCTTTGCTTCCATGGCTCAAAGGCATTAGCTTCTGGAATGTCAAGTGGAAGAAACCATTCAGCACACAGTTATCATTTTCACTTAGAAATTGATTCTGACTGAATTCAGCTGCACTAGGTCACTTTTCACCATTCTAAACTGCAGATTGTTTGCAATGAAATGGCACTGTTACCTCTGTCTGTATCAAGCTAATGTAGTTGCAAGTTAGTTTCTTTTCATGACATTCTGTCCTTAAAAGTACATTGTATTGGTGAGGATGCCTCTTGTAAAAGTTCTTACAGAAGAAGAAAAAGACTTCAAATGAAAACATAAAGGCTAAAAATATAATGTTGCATCTACTAAAAGACAAAGAAGACTTCTGCTTCTGAGTGATGCAAACATCAGTATAGCATATCCATTTTTTGATCAATCAATCCCAAATGTTTGTACTCAGCATTAATTTTCTAACAAATTGCCACCAAATTTATAACGTCTCCTCTGCTCTCTCCACCACCTTACTTTATTGCCTTACATAATTCAACAGGGTCATGACCTGATTATAACTCAGCTCAATGCATCTTCCTTGGAACTGAGCCATGTATAATGATTTTACTACTCAATGGCTTAAAAGCCTATATTCAATATTTGGGAGTCTGTATTCACTTTCCAGCATCCAGTTTACAGAATATATCACTTTTAGACCTTAAAGACAATGCTTTGGGCAACATTACAGGGCACTGTTCCAACAATTGCTCAATTTGATTTAGCTAATAATTTGTTTCTTTAAAACTAAAGAATCACCTTGTTGCTCTATTTGTATTGCTTACTTCACATGAACAATCACTACAGACAACAGCTTGATCTCACATAAGCCACACTTGATTTGTCTTTTTTAGGTGAGAATATCAGTGCTTCAGCAAATCAAAACACTGCATACACTGGAAATCTAAAATAAAACAGAAAATGTTGGAAAAGTACAGCATTTTCTACTTGCTATTAATACTTCAGAGCTGGCACACCAGCGTACATGCACACTGAAAATTAAGATCGCCAGCTTTCATGCTAATGTACCATCATCATTCTCACTGCTGTTGATTTTGCTCAGGAGGATGGAAGACAAGATCCAGCAACCCATCCAACTCAAAGGACAGACTAACTAATGAGTTTGATGTTCACCCATCAAATGCTATTTTGGAGTTTTTACAGGTTTGGGTTGCATAATGGATTGGGAACAGCCCAACTAGGAGGAGGAAATCACACAACAAAAAGCCAGTCATGTCTGTGCCATTCTTTCAGCAGCACTCAGGAGTTATTTAGTGAGCAGAGTTACCACTCCAACTGCTCTGAGTGCATTTGATCAGTGAAGGTGTTCATGGCCTTCCAGGGCAGTAGGGTGGAGGACAGGAAGTCCAGTGCGAGTGCTTCTAAATGCAATCAAGACAAAAGATGGTGAGGGGATTAAAGTACTAAAAAATAGATTTGACTAGCATTGAGGACAACAGCTTCATGAGCATTAGCAAAGCCACGGTGTGAGGAAGGTGCAGGATAGGAATTAGGGCATGAGGCAATGGAGGTTATATGTTCAACATCAAATATGTTACCAAAGACACAGCTATCTGTTCTTGTCAAAAAACTAATGCCAGAGTCCGCACCTATTTAGACAGATGGTGATTCTGTGTCTTCATTACGGAATACCTCACACATCATTGTACTGCTTGTTATGCCCTGCAGCAATGTGGTTGACTCGTAACTGCCTTCTGGGCAATTAGGGATGGGCAATAAATGCTTCTTAGCCAGCGACACCCTCAGCCTGTGAACGAATACAAAAAAAAATGCCCTGCAGTTGCTATTCTAGTCATTGCGATCATTTCCAATTGATTCCTTCCAAGGATCAAGAGCCAACCTTAGACAACACCTTCATGTGCTCACAGAGTGTACTCCATCCATCACCTAACTCACTAATTCTGAATATGAACCCTCACCCCCTCACCAGCAGATTCTGATTCTGATAATAATCTGAAAATAATCATGGGGCACAACTTACCTGCTTAACAACAACAGTTTTTATAGACAAAGAATGCCTATTTTGTAGACATTAGGGCATTTTAATGAATCTGGTGAAGTGCCAGCACAAAATGCACTAAATGCTACAGTTACACATCAACCTGGGGCAGGAGTTCAGAGGCATGACCAATTTTGAAGGACCCACAGCAGCACTTGAAAAGAAGTGGTAGAAGCATTAAGAGGGAAATAAAGTAGTTTTTAAGCAAAGAATGTTTTGCAGCACCTAGAGTTGAAAGAGATTAAATAATGGACTAAAGTCTTTAGATTAAAAGTCACAAAAAACGACAGTAAAACAAAAGGCAAATTTTCTGAACTGTGGTTAAGCATCTCTTTGAACTGTGCATAAAATGGTTGCCTTCCAATTTCTACTGCCTTCCAAGCACAAGAACAAGAATCTTCAGTCACAATGTGATAGCTTTGAAAATGGAATTGGATTTATAATCCAACTTGCATACATTAATGAGGTTCTTGTTAGTGCCCTAGTGGAGCTCTAGCCACCAGGATTGAGCTTCATTCTGAAAACTGGAGCAGGTGGACAACAAAGAGCAAGTCAGCACTTCAGTTCTGTTCACAGTTCCATTTCCTCTATTGTCCCGTTTTTAGACTTAACCAAGGTAACAAGTACATGAAATCACCCTAACGGTGACTGTTATTTTAAAAATCCCAATCAATTCCAATTTAAATAGAAAATATAAATTGAATAATAATCAGTTTACAGATAATGAGAAAGAAAATATTCCTTATAACGGTAACTTTATTCTGAATATACTTGGACAATATTGCTAAATCAAATGCAAACTTCAGCAAGAATTCATTTTTGCGCTTGCATCCCACATTGTAATAAGTACATATGCAAATTTAATCATGAAATACCTAATTGAATTTTATGGATAAAGTAACCAATTTTCTTATGTGTAAAAAGAATGCTATGGAGTGCATTTTTAATTGCAAAATGACCAATCTGTATCAAAACTTTATAAATTTAATGTGCATATGGAACTCCATAATTCATTGTATTTAGTTAAAACCTATGAACTATTTTTATATTCCAGCCCCAGTAAGACAGTTATATTCACCCATCTGTACAGCATCTCCGGTGGCCTCCAGGCAATGCGTCAGTGTTTTGCTGAAAGGTTCCCATATCACCAAGTTACTCTGCACATCTTCTCTAAACAGGGCCAGTTCAATCTTTATTCCCTGAAGGAAAGTGGATGCCTGCTCAATGATGTGCGCTTGCTGCTTTGTTCTTTCCCTGTGAAGTATGATATTGTGATATTGACTCAGTTTAAAGAAAGAATCCTCTCCATTAAATTACTTTGAACTGATTTTAACATGGTGCTTATTCAGTCCCTTCGTAATCTCAATTAGTTTAACAGCCAACCTGAAACAATTCAGCGTTCTTACATCAACAAAACTTAATTTGGACAATATATAAAATAGAGATGTTGTCTACCTCTGAATAAGAAAAACTAGCCATAACCTAGATGATGACTTTGACTTGGTTGGGGCAATTACCATCTTTATTAATTTGCACTGATGTTAGAAGCATGCAATGCAGCACCTGCTTTGTTTGATTCGCTTTCTTAAATGTAAACAAGAAAATATGCAAGCCTGTGGGAACATAAGAATCATTTAATGATTCCAAACAGTTGTTAAACATCTGTCGCGTTTTTCCTGTCATGCCATCCTGATTCTTTATTAAATCTAAAATCTTTCAATTTCACATTCTGTGTATGCTCTATGCAGCATAATGTCAGCAGGTGTTTGCATGAATTTTTCCTTACCAATTTTTCAGTAGTATTTATGATTTTAATGGATTCCTTACCTGTAAAGTTTTGATTTGTTCTGAACTGCTATGAGCTGTCTCCAATTGTCTTCCATTTTCAAACACATGCCCTCCAGTTCTTCCTGCTTAGTCGCAAGTTCTAAACTCAAGAAATTCAAACTGAAAAATAAAAAGGCATGTTTTTACACTGAGCAAGGTAGAGAATGAGAGAACAAAAACAAAGTTGCTGGAAAAGTGCAGCATGTCTGACAGTATCTGTGAAGCAAAAATAAGATTTAACATTTAGGGTCCGGTCACTCTTCCTCAGAACAGTTCTGAGGACCCAAAATGTTAACTTTGATTATTTTCTTCACAGATGCTGCCAGACCTGCTGAGCTTTTCCAGCAACTTCTGTTTTTGTTCCTGATTTACAGTGTCTGCAGTTCTTTCGGTTTTTATGTAGAGAATGAGAGACTATTTTGAGCACAATAAGTTCTTTTCAATTCTTTTCAATAAACCTAGCAAACAAATATAAAAATTGTTTATATTAACGAACACTTTTTAGACATGCTTATAAATGCAAAATGCGCTGGTGCTATTTTTAACATTATCTCGAAGGCAGCCTATTTATGAGCTATTTCCCACTGCAATCATTTACTTGGCTATTCCATCCTGTGCCCTTCCTCCCCCAGTCTCCCTTCCTAAATTGCTAATGACAGCCTGGCTCTGATAGTGGACATTTTAGTCCAAACATCAAGTTTGAGCCACAACTTTAAAGCTGCCTTCATGAGGTTCACTATCCATCTTATAACACTGCTTGCTCTTTATTTTCACTGAGAACTTTTTAAATAAATGGAGCTCTGTTGAAACTTGACTTGCCAGCTGCATAGCTTCTATTACTATTGGTTCTCTGCTCTACTGCTTGGCTCAGTTGATGTAATTTAACTCTGCTACTCAGGCACTTCAAGTTTAAAGGTACTTTTTTCTATCCTATAATCCACCCTGATATTATCAGTTGAGTTTCTGGTGACTTCATTGCATACGAAGGCGTGCAGTTTTAAGTAGAAGGGAGTAGGCATACCAAATTCCTTGGATGGTTTTGAATCATTGGTGATTTCGGTTTACTCAGCTCTCACCTATGATTCCAAGAAATTGCCTGTGTATTAGGGCAGTCACACACAGGAAACTGCTTTGGATTGAGGTTAAATTAGCTGAGGGTAATTGGTAAATTTGTGGCCTGTCTGTTAAGGTTGCGTCCATCCCAAAGCGTGATGAACACTGTACTTAATTAAGTGGACTGAGCAGACATTCTAAGTTTCTGATTAAGAAGCATGGTATCAAGATTTTGCAGAAAACACAGATTTTTAGAAATGTTGCAACAAGTATTGCATATTTTGTTCAATGTCTCTACAACATCCCCATTATGAATCCAGTGACAAAATGAGATTAAGTCTCAGGAAATTAATAAGGTTGCAGTTGATGGCTTGGGATACTTGATGCACCATTTTTGAAAATCTGCATTTTCTGCAAAATCTTGATACCATGCTTTCCTTACGTAATTATTTTCCATACTTTCATTTCACAAACTTTACATTGATTGGACAACAGCAAACAGCTCAGGACATAGAGTAATTCCTCAAGGAATAAAGACACAGTGGTGTAGGGCAGCCTGCTGGATTACTGAACAGCCATCATTACCTATCAGTTTTTAAATATAAGGTGCAAGCATGGAGATAAGAAGTGCCACGAAATTGCTTATATTTCTGATCCATAGTATGCATATTGCAACTATTTAGTTACCTCCTTAGAGGTCTTAAACATCCAAAATCAATGACTAAATCTTTCCCTCAACATTTTCGCCTGAAATTTTAGAACAAATTTCAGGTTCCGTCCTTTTGACAGGGATTGGATTCAATGTTGCACCAGTAGGTTTCATTGTAAACTATCATCAGTGCTTCCTGTTAGCTCATGATTGCCCATTCCTTGAGGTTGCTTGTCCTAGAACTTCTTGTCCTCTTTGGCTTTCAGATATTAATGGAACAAACTGCAGACTGTCTTGATAGCCAGAAAACTAATCTGATCTGAAATGGAAAATGTAGTACTAAATGAAACTTCTTTGCAAACTTAAAAAAATCTATGGATTTTGGAAGGGCCCTAGTGGATTGGAAAATGACATTAGTAACATGTCTATTTAAGAAAACCATGGCAACAGAAAGAAGAAAACTGTAGGCCAATTATCTTAACATCTGACATGGGAAAAATGATGTGATTCATTTTAAAGTAAAGTTAAAATAAAAGGTCACTTACAAAATCATAACATAACCAGGTAGAGTCTGAATGGTTTTATGGAAGAGAAGTCATGTTTGACTAACTTATAAGAATTCTTTGAGGAAGTAACAAGCAGAGTGGACAAACAAGAAGCTACATGTGTTGAACTTGGATTTCCAAAGGACATTCAAATACAACATAAGTGTACAATATTATATACAATTCTCCAATTGCACAACATTTGTTGAATAATCCTAAATGTGTGAAGAATAATGTTGCCATCCAATTTAGAGTTGTCAGTTGGGATTGAATTGTAATCTATTTGTCATTTTGGTCTCTGAGTGCAAGATAAAAAGTTTTGATAAAATGTATCTTTCACAGCATTATTCAAAAACATTTGATCGCTATTAAATGCAGCTTCTGGTAGTAATAAAATTGTTTGGAACTGTTTCAGAATGGCAATTCTTGGACCCAACAATGTAAACAACAGGACCAATTTGCTAAGCATAATGATGACGATGATTTTAAAAAGGCTACACAATTAGAAATACCTCCTGCACTTACCATGACTAAAGGAGAAATCATCAACCAAGACCAAACATGGTTAGAATAACATATATAAACAAATTTAGAGCAAACTAAGGATTATGTGTGACATCTGGTGGCATGTGAACTGCAGTCTGATGCTGACCAGAAAGATCATAAAAAACTGTTATAATAAGTTTAAAATGGAAACTAGACTTATGTTCAAGTTATTCTTTCCATCACTTGCTTACTTCCCTATTTAATTCTTAATAGCATTGCTTTGCTATTCTTTCAGTCACTAAGGCTGTCTTGACGGGTCACAATAACTTTCTTTTATTAGATGTACGATTTCATTGCTGATTCGGTGTGTCTGCACAAAGTACACCTGCTGGACATCAGTTCTTAAACTTAAATTCAAATAATTTCAAAGGCACGAGTATTTCACAATCTTGATGTAACCTTAATCACCCAGCAAACAAAATCTCACAACAACTTCAGAGATAGTAGGAACTGCAGATGCTGGAGAATCTGAGATAACAAGATGTACAGCTGGATGAACACAGCAGGCCAGCAGCATCAGAAGAGCAGGAAGGCTGACGTTTCGGGCCTAGATCCTTCTTCATAAAGATGTGGTTGCAAGGTGACCAAGGTTAGAAAATAAACATACCAAAATCGCTTAACTTTTAGAAAAGATAGACAAAATGGAAAAAGTGGAGGGCTAACCTGATAATAAAGGATAAGATAAAAGCAATAGGTAAAAAGGATTTAAACTTAGAAAATCAGGATGCAGATTAAGTATGAATAGAACTACAAAATAACAAAGGACAAAAAATCACTAGGGTAAGTAATTGATAGGCTACTTAACAGAAGTCATTACATTGGATAGAGTGTGAAAAATTAAAAGTGCATATAACAAAAATAATGCTATAAATGTGAAATACATTAATTAGTGTATTATTGGCAAAGAAGTTCACAGAATGCCTTTCAGATACTTTTCTAGAGCATTTGTAATGGAAGTAACTAGACCATAGACTATTTTAGATTTAGTTTTGGGCAATGAGGGATGATTAATTAGTAACTTTACAGTAAAGGGTCCTCTGTGGAAAAGTGATTATTATTTGATGGAATTTCACTTTAAATTTCTTGACTTCACTCAAGAAGAACATGACAACTCATCAGTGACAGGGAGATCTCAATGGGCAACCAACCCAGTAAGATTCATTGTGCTGTGCTACTTTCTCATTAACACTTGTGTTAACTCATTCTTAATTTGCACAAGCTTTTATCCCTCTTATTCAACTAAATCTCTCTCAGCTATGCAAGCACTAACTGTACCCAATCAACCTCCACCCCAAAGAGGTCAGCTACATCTCCAACTCCAAGAAGGAAGCAACTGAACCCACAGAGAATGCACCAGCGAGACTTTCACCAGCAGCTGAAAGACTTCTTCCTCAGTGCGTACTGTTTCTAGATTTGACTCTGGAGCACAATCTGCTGAGCACATCACTAACATGTTTCTACAGCTTTTTTTTATTCATTCACGGGTTGAGGGGCGTTGCTAGCTAGGCAGCATTTATTATCCATCCCTAATTGCCCAGAGGGCAGTTAATAGTCAACCACACTGCTGTGGGTCTGGAGCCATAAGTGGGCCCAAACCAGGTAGGGATGGTAATTTCCTTCCCTAAACAACATTAGTGAACCAGATGGGTTTTTCTGACAATCAACAATGGATTCATGGTTATCATTAGATTCTTAATTGCAGATATTTGTTGAATTCAAATCTTGCTGTAGCAGGATTCAAACCCGGGTCCCAAGAATGCAATCTGGATCTCTGGATTAACGGTCTAGCGATGATATCACTAGGTCATTGCCTCCCTAGCTAAGGAAATAATGTCCAGGTCTCAGACTCTCAGATTTCTGGCAGATACCAAGTACTTGCTCAGCCCCAGAAGATAATTCCACAGTGTCAGCCTTTAACAACTTTGTGAAAATCCAGATTTGCAAAGCTACAGCTGGCAGTTGCTAAATTAGATCAAAGGACAGAGCAGTCCACCAACATTGTCAGTGCCAGGCTGGCTCTGGCAAATGTGCGTGTGGCTGTCTTCCATGGAAAGGTTGGCAATTGCAGTTGAGAGCCAGATCCAGCACAGTCAGTGTCTGCTAGTTATGTGCATCAAACTGCAGTCCATCTTTGTAGCTACAGATGTTTGGTATCAATGGCAAGTGGTAATACTGGCCAGGTAAAATCCAAGAATGAAACCTAGCTTAATAGATCATGTATTCAAATATCACAATTACATGATCATTGAAACATACTCGCATGAGGCTGCAGATGATTTTTAACAATGAAACTTCAGTTTTCACTGAAAAAGAGGAAACAAAGCTAC